TGCTTGTTTGACTTTTGCACTTCATACAGCTTGATTTTGCTATTTTTACACTGTAGAAGAAGATGTAAATCCAGCCTACAAAATTGCTCTCCTTGCCCTTCCTTCTTGTCTATTCTGTTTAGTTGCTACCCATGAAATGCAAGGGAATACTACTGGCACATCAGGCCATGGGAGGGGGGAGAAGAGTCAGGGCTGAGCTGCAACAAGGAATGGTATCATCTAGCACGGACTCTTTTGAGCCCACTTGCTGTGACTTTGCAGGCCCAAATTTGGAAATGCGAACCATATTGCATTGCTGTCATGCATAAGGGGAGCCACACTTGTGGTGTTTTAACTGCTTGAAAAAAAACCAGAATCCACATCCCAAGGAGCTTGCAAGTCCATGCAATGCAAAGCACAGCAGTTTCACAGCAGCATGGAGGTAAAGCTGGTGAGGAGACTGGAACTCAGTAGATCTGAATTCAGCACCTATTTCTACCCCAGATGGTCTGTGTGACCATGAGAGTTACTCACCTTGCTGAGATGAGATTGAATGTGCATGCACTACCCAGCTGTTTAGAAGAGGGAGTGAACTGGAATCCCCAACCATGGGGAGTATAGGCCAGAGGAGGGATTTAGCTGAACAGAATTTCTGTATCTTCACATCTGTTGGTTGAGGCCATGGTGAGGTTACTGTTTTGGGTTTGTGTTGATTTTTAAGTACAGTGACATCTCCAGGTAAAGAAGGTTGGCCTTTTAAATTGTGTCAATGATGCCTGTCATTACCCAAATCCCTTTGCTCTCCATATTAAAGGCACCACCCTGGCTGATTTAAGCATGCTTGCTAATTCATGTGGAGCAGCCTGAGGTCAGCTGTTTGCACCTCATTAAGGCTGCTTATACTGATACTCAGAATCTTTGCTCGGGGTCACACCCCACTGAGTCTCCTTATGTTATGACACAGAGGCTAGGAACAGATTCATAGATGTTAGGGTCGGAAGGGACCTCAATAGATCATCGAGTCCGACCCCCCAGGTCTTCAAGATGTTGCCTTTATCCCTGGAAAATTGTGCCTGTGTTTCTCCTGGAACAGAAATATTCTGGGATTGGTGTGTATAGGCATTGCCTTTCTAATCAGGGTTTAGTGAGCAACTGAATGCACTGCTACTTTTCTCCCGAGTACTTAGTTTGCATAGATATGAAATTGGACTAATAATAGTCCTTTAAAATGCTAATGTAATGAGATGAGAGATGGGATGTGCAGATGAGAATAGGATGGAATTCAACGCACACGAGTGCAGGGTACTGTATCAAGGGAGAAGGAACCAGCAGCTCACCTACAGGCTGGGGAACACCCTTCTTGCCAACACGGTGCAGAAAGGGATCTTGGAGTCATTGTTGACTCCAGGATGGACATGAGCCTCCAATGCGAGGAAGCAGTCAGTAAGACTAACTGCACCTTGTTGTGCATCTACAGATGCATCACAAGCAGGGCCAGGGAGGTGATCCTCCCCCTCTATGCAGCGTTGGTCAGGCTGCAGTTGGAGTACTGTGTCCAGTTCTGGGTGCCAGACTTCAAGAGGGATGTGGCTAGCATTGAGAGGGTCCAGAGGAGGGCCACTCACATGGTCAGGGGACAGCAGGCCAGGCCTTACAAAGAGAGGATGAAGGACCTGAATCTATTCAGCCTCCGCAAGAGAAGGCTGAGAGGGGATCTGGTGGCCATTTACAAACCCATCAGAGGGGACTAGCGGGAATTGGGGGAGGCTCTGTTCCCCTGGGCACCACCCGGGGTTACTAGGAATAATGGCCACAAATTGTTAGAGAAAAAGTTCAGGCGGGACATCAGGAGACATTACTGTACAGTTAGGGCTGCCAGGCTCTGGAATGGGCTCTCAAGTGAGGTGGTGCTCCCTCTTACCTTGGGGGTCTTCAAGAGGAGGCTGGACAGATATTTGGCTGTGGTGTAATGACCCCGGCACTCATTTCTGCCCGGGGCAGGGGGCCAGACCTGATGATCTGTTTAGGTCCCTTCTGACCCTAAGCACTATGAAACTATGAAACTATAATTAAGTGCAAAGCTTAATTGAAGAGACACTTGGGGCTAGATCCTATTCTAAGAATCAGTCATGCAATCCCAGGATAATTGTTCAGAAGCACTTTGTGATATCTCAGGATAAATTGTTGGTACTTATTACCCCATGAACCTTTTTCGGTTTTATCGTGGGACAGCAGACTTGGATGTCTGAATGATTGCACTTTTTCCCAGGATAAAATGTGTTCACGTGAGACAAATGTGGCACCTTTTTGTACCCAAAGAGCAAGACTTGCCTCTAATAGTACCATCAAATAGACAGAATTTGGTCAGACTTAGGGCTGCTACCAGTTCACACTACCTATGTTTGAGATTTTTTTCTTTGGTGGCAGGTAGAGGCTGCGGAGATTGGCTCGATCTACAAGATACGAATTGGTCATGATGCGAAGGGCATTGGGGATGGCTGGTACCTGGAGAATGTCACAATTAAACGGATGGTAAAAAAGGTTCAGGATAATGAGTGGAAAAGGAAGAAAAAAAAGAAATCTGGTGAGGAAGAAGACGAGGAGTCTGTGCCAGAAGAAGAAATGGAAGTCTATAACTTTGTGGCCCAGCGCTGGCTGGCTAAAGATGAAGGGGATAAGGAGATAGTTGTGGAGCTGGTACCAGAGGAAGGATCTGAACTTGAGGGTAAACATCAGAAAGGAAATGTTTGTGTGTCAGACCTTTTGAGTATGGTTGGTTATGGTCGGATAGCAGACAGTGGGTGAGATTACACATTAGAGTTAGCAAGTGCTAATTCTGAACACTGTTAGTCTGCATTAAGGTTAATTAATGGTAGTGATCAGTCACATGTTCGGGGTTAATACCCGCTCTAATGTGCACTGCTCAGACATGCCAATAGAGGGCTGGCAAGCAGGGGCATGATTAGGGGCTGCAAGTCCACTCCATGCCTTTCCTGCTCACCGGCTGTCTAGTCACAGCATAGGCCATGGGAAGAGGGGGAGAAGGTGACTTGGATCACCCCCTCCACCTCCAAAATCATTGCCTTGCCACCCCAAATCACTGGCTTGCCACCATAATCAGCCTGATAGCAGCTGCAGTGGCAGCAGAGCAGGGGGATCACCTTCCCTGCCTGCTTCCGGGCTCCCTGCACCCAAATCCAGCCTCCCCCAGGCCCCACAGCTTTCTGGAAGCACCTTGCTCCCTCTGTCCCCTTCTCTTTTTCCTCCCCTTCAGTTGTATCACCTGGCAGGGGCTGGATCTGAGTGTGGAGGGGTGGCATGGTCTGTAAGGACCCCAAGAGTAGGCAGGGAGGGGGAAACCTCCCCACTGGCACCTCTGCCACTCTTGAGCTGATCGGAGCAGCAGGACAATGATCCAGAGGTAGATGGGCCGATGCAGGGCAGAGGAGGCAATTGGGATGACAGAGGACTGATCTGGGAGTGGAAAGAGTAATTTGGGGTCTGGGGATTTTGGGGGCCAGAGTGGGCAGCAGGTCCCCACCCTCCCACTTCCCTCTTTTCTCTACCCCATCCTGATTCCTCCCTCCAGTCTTGCCCCCCTACCCTTTCCCATGCCCCACTCCCCCTGGATCCTCTTCCCCCTGCTTACTCCTTTTTCCTCCCTCCCCATCACCCCATCCCCACCCACTTGTTGTCCTGCTGTTCCCAGATGTCAGTCCAGGGCTGCAGAATCCTGAATGATAGCTAGTCCACCTGTGTGCTGTGCCTCCTGGGATACTGGAGGAATACAAATTGGTGGTTTTATCTCAGGGGAACACCCACAAATTAATTTAACTCAAGCTCAGCAGCACAGATCAAATATAATCCTGGCCCAAAGTGGCATAACTTTAAATCACCTAAAGGGCACTTAGTACTAGTTAATAAGCTTCAGAGTGTGATCATTCATGTTTTAGGTGCTCTTAATATGATCTAAGTGTAATGTGTAATTTCACCCGGTGATGGTGTCAGATACCACTCCCACCAAAACACTAAGACGTTATTAATGGTCAGATGAAATATGTTTTCCTACAGTGTGTAATGAACCTGTGGAAGTCATTGCTTCAAGACCTCTTTGAGGCCACAGGTTTAGTAAAGTGTTAAAAAAAATCTACTTTTATAGGGAGGTGAGAATGGCTGTCTTTAAATTAGGCAGGACAAAAATGAGAGAGAAGCTGTCACGCTCAGGGGTCGAAACAAATTTCTAAGAGAAGGAGATTAGGATAATTTTTTCCCCTATGGCCTGATATGTGGTGAACCTTTATTCCCCCCAAATACATGGATTAATGGAACTGGCTATGACAGCACTGACCTACTGTGTAACTCCAATGTTCTGTCTTCTCTGCAACGTCCCATACAGAGAATTCTTATGAAGTCCATGTCTTCACTGGGACTGTATGGGGAGCTGGGACTGATGCTAATGTCTACGTGGACATATATGGTGAAGAAAAAGGTGATACCGGGGAGCGTCATCTGAAAAGATCCAATAACATGAACAAGTTTGAGAAGGGCCAGGTAATGCATGCACTCAGGCAAACAAAAGGCTGGCATAAGCCTCTGTTCTCTATCACGGGCAGGTGGTTGTGCATTACTCCCTCTTCCCAGTAAGCCTCCTTGAATGAAATATTTGGAAATGTCACTTCTGTATCTTAAACACAAAAATCACTGGGTGGGATTGGCAGGGAATTTCCCTGCAAAACATGTTGCAGGGAATATTCACTTGGAAAAAAACCCCTGAATTTGCCTCTCCTACATGTCAGCCCCACATTGCATTTGGTTCCTGGAAATGTTCTGGTAATTGAGGTTACTGGCAAAAATTCCTGAAAGCCACAAATATGACATGAATATTAGGATGTAACTGCACTTCAAAGTGGATTCCAAAAGTAGCACTCATCCAATCAGGGGATGAAAACAACACCATGCTACCTTTATGCTCAGTTACAATTCAACAATGTGGATTGTAAATTGAATCCTCGCAACAAATTGTTCATGAGCTAGCAACATAATAACCATGACAGGGCAGAATTGTTCAAGGAATAACTTTGAGTGCTGAAAAAGATTGAGAGAACAGTAATCTGGTTGTGGACAGCTTGCGCATAGAAGAAGAGGTTGAATTTGTCATATTATTACAAAATGATTTATTAGCTCGGCTCCAGTCAAATGGTAATGAGAGCATCGTTCTTTAGTAAGTGGGAGGAATTCAAAGTAATAGACATAATACCTTCTGCTTTGGTGGGAAGATGAACCCAAACTTTACCAAGAAACTAATTTCATGAAGGCTTAAAAAAAAATGGTGTACAAGGCTTGCGTTGTCAAAGTAATGCTGTTAATGGGTGAACTCCACGGCTGTCGTGAATGACACGAGGGGAAACGCTTCAGTGATCTGAACCAACGATTCCGTAGGAACCTTTCCACCGACTTAAATAGCCTTTGCATCTTGTCCCAAATGCCAAAGTACAATGTGGATTTTAATAAGGGAAGAAAGCTTTGACCCTGAAAAAATAAGAATTACAAGGGACAAGTAAAAGGTGGTAGCAGTAGCAACATAGGAACACGGGATTGGAAAGGACCTCCTGGGCCACTGAATCCAGTCCCTTGCATTTGTAGGCAATTGTTAACCCGGGGAATCTACAAGGCACAATACCACAAACACCAACACGGCTCCATAGCAGATCATTAGTAAGAGCAGGGGAGATGAGGGCACTGCCTGATGCCTTGCCATAGCAATTTCATGGGAGTACTTGGTTAATATTTATCAGAAGATCCTAGAAAAAAGCCTGTGCCCCACACTGCAGAGGAAAGCAGACGTCCCTCCCACCCCCCAGTCTGTGCCAGTCTGATACAGAGGAAAAATATCTTCCTGACCCTAAATGTGGGTATCAGCATGACCCTGAACAGAAGAGCTAAACCCCTTAGCCAAGTCTCTCTGGGTCTTCTCCGTACCAGCAGGAGCATCAGCATACCCCGCTCAGAAACCTCCAGCCTTTGTTGTACAGGCAAAAGCACTGTTCCCCCACAGAAGGCAGGCAGTAGCATTCACAACCAGTGCCCAGCATCCCTGAAGCATGCGATTATCAGATACCTTCCTTATTACAGGAGCTACCTGTATACCCCAACCCCGGGGTGCAAACATGACTACTGCTTGCCAAGCCACAACTGCTTATCCTGTCCTACCACTCCTGCCATAAACTTATCCAGGAATAAGATTAGTATCTTCTGGAGAGAGCCAGACAGACTTTGCATTTTCCTAGCAGAAATGAGTTCCCTGTCCAGAGCCCTGCCCCCCTCAATACTTGTGTGTGAAACACGCTCATCTCATTCTGCTTCTATGTTGGCAGGAGGATATATTCACTATCAAGGCCATCGATTTGGGACCATTGAAAAAAATCCGGATCCGTCACGACAACTCTGGTACAAACCCAAGCTGGTACTTGGAGAGGGTGGAGGTTGTCGATCTCAATGAAAGCACCACGTGAGTTAATTTGTTGCATTCAGTTAACCTGACTGGAAGATGGGATATGCTTTTCTGATCAGAAAAACACAGAGGCTTTAAAGTATAAAAAGGCAGAAGGATGTAACAATTGTAGTTTCATAATCAGCTCAGCCAGTCTGGAGAATCATCCTGGAAACCTAAAATACTGGTGCTCACAGCTTGGCGATTAGGGACTGCTCTAGGATCCTGTGCAAAGGATCCCTGACTCTGTGTGTGGAGCAGAGTGGGGATCTAGAGACGTCCCTGAAGGATGTATATCGGTTCTTGTTACCATCACCCATACACAGCTCCACTGAAAAGGTAGCATAGCTCCAGACTGTTTCCTTTTCTGTGACCCCCCAACATCATGAGAGTGCCTTAGGGAAGTTGCCAAGGTGAGGGACCTTCAGCACCCAGCTATTATGGACTCAGGCTGACAGGGGGAATAGCAAAGCTAGAGTCATCATGAGGACAAGTCTTCTGTGCTGATAGGGCTGGCAAATCCCCCAGGTCTCTTGGGATTAGAGTGGAGTTTGTGGAAGAGTTTGGAAACTGAACCCACCTTTTTTATTTCCAGGAGAACCAACCTCCATTCAGAAAAGTCTGATGCAAGCTCTCCTCCACTTACGGGCCTCCTTCTATGAGCTTTCCTCGGAAGCTTGTTGCCCGCTTGTGGCTTGCTATTAATATACAAGGGACAAATCAAAACTATGAGCCTGATCCAAAGGTGCTGATCTGGCAAACTCCCACTAATTTCAGAGGGAAATGGCTGAGTAAAACTTGAGTTGCCCATTGATCGTAGCTCTGAGATACATGCTTAACTATGGGCATGTGAGAAGCTCCACGGGCTGCAATGGGGCCAAATATGTCTTGTAGCTGGATGGGAGGTGGATTATGTCTCTGGTAGCATACCTGCCACTGAGATGCGAAACCAAGAGGAGTTGGGTAGGACTGAGAGGTTGGCCTTAGTCAGTGGACCTTAACATCTGAGCTTGAGTGAAGTCCACACCAGCTTCTTCCTTTTGCTAATTGCTTTTCCTCATGCCTATGAAATGCTCTGAAGAGAAGTCCTGTGTAAGTGCAGGGCACTGCTGTTGTTCTTGTAGGTATTATTTCCCATGCCAGCGGTGGTTGGCAGTTGAGGAAGACGATGGGCAGATTGTAAGGGAACTGGTTCCAGTGGCTGAAGCGTTTGTAAAGAAAGATGTGAGCAGCGAAGACCAGTCTCCTACATCATTGGGCCTGGAGCAGAAAGGTCTGTCTTTTTATTTCGTCTGATAAGTAATTAAAAACAATTCATCTTATTAATAGTGCAAAGAGCATTAGCAATTAGAGGGTTCATTAGAGCAACAAAAATTCAGCTCCTGGGTCAGGTATGAGAAAATAGCAAGATGTATACTGGCCTAAGAGGAGTCTGAGACCCCCTCATCTCCCATGCACTTCAATTATCTTGCAGATTGAAGCAATATATTGTAGCCACGTTGTAGCATGGAATAGCAATAGGCAAAGGTTTGATCATGGAGCTGACCAGGAATATCAGTGATTGTTGCCATCAAAGGTAGACACCCACTCTTGTTGAATGTGGTGCCCTGTTGTATTATTTTTCCAAAACAACCTTGCTTCTGTTGTGTTTGATTTCCAGCACTGACCACTCAGTAATGAAGCCAGAAAGCAGGGGTAGATATGCACCTTACAGGCCAACTAAATAAGATCTAGAGAGAGCACAGGCTTTCGTGAGCTCACGCTTGCTTTATCAGATGCTGTGAAAGGACACGCATCGCTCAGTGTATGAAGGGGAATGTGTAATTTGAACATAAAAGGTGGCAAGGGAGGAGGGGATGAGTGTGGAGATACTGGGATGAGGGTGGAGATACTGGGAGAGGCAAATAAGCAAAGAACCCATTGGAACAAAGGGGTCACAAAAGCTAACCCAGTTAATAGAATAAGATCCACAGCCCTGGTTTCATATTGCGAGTCTAACTTTAGGGGCTCAGTCTTGAAAATCCTGGCCTATAACTTTGTAGTTTGGGGAACTGTAGATATTCCCATACTTTGCATGAGCTTTGCTGTAGTTTTCAGGTGCTGGCGCTAGTGCTGGGAAAGACTCTAACGATGATACTGAGAAGGGCTAATCTATGTATGTGCATGTGTGTGTTTGCACATGCACGCACACACAAAAATGTAAGCGCCACTATTCACATCTGTTTTATACATGTGAGAACATGCATACACATACACACAATGGTGCTATCAGAATAAAAGAATAAAGTGTTTTAGACTACAGAAAGAAGCAGTAGTTAGAAAAAAACTGGGACTCCCAGGGTGCAGCTACATGTGCCGATTTAATGCTCATTAAAGCATCTGAAAAAACCATGATCTTTAGCTAATGCACATTAAAATAGGCTAATGCACCTTTTTCTGGTATCTCACAATGGAGATACTCAGTTTAATGTGCATTATCTAAATCTCATTAATGAACGTCTAGATGTGCCCCCACAAAGCTAATAGGAAGTCTGAGCACCTCTCTTCTGCAGAGATGAAGAAAGCATTAGTGGATGACAGAGCAGAGGATCATACTTCCCAACAGTCCTGTTTCACCCCAGTAAGCATCACTGCAAATAACAGGAATTACTCTCAGAGCTTTCTCAGTATGAAGAAGGGCAGAGAGGAAACCCAACAAATCATTTGTGCAACGAAACAAGAAAAGTACTAGAATGAATAGCTGCTCAGAGTTCACACCCTCAAATCAAAATATGTTGTTTGACAGCTAAATCGACGACGTATATTGTGAGAGTCAAAACCGGGGACAGGAAGCATTCTGGGACAGATGCCAATGTCTTCATAATACTCTATGGGACAAAAGATGACACAGGTGAGAACCAAGTACAGCTGCTTTATGATTGAAAGGTATGTGATCCTCACTGTTGATATAAGCCACTGCAATGATTGACCGTTTTCTTATGTTTTCCTCAGTACCGTATCTATTCTTATAGGATTTCACATTTGCACTGAAAACCTGCTGCTCATCAGAACACATAGGAGGTTAATTTTTTTTCAGCGCTTTTTAAAAATGAATATTAAGGAGCAGACCCTCAACTGCCATCAATCGGTGTTGTTCATTAGAAGTATGCTCCTTTACACTAGAAACGGAGTCGTTGACAGCAGAGATTAGATCGCGGACCCGCAATAGTGTACATGGGGTTGTCTTGCAATGAGACGTCCGCCCACTCTACAAACCCAGCTCTTCCTCAGGAGCGTGGATGTCACAAACACATTTGATCTGTTGACAAGACAGCTGTGTTGGGGCTGACTGTGTGTGTAGTGATTTATAGTGTTTGCGAATGAGACGAACAAGAAGCATGTAGGGCCAGTTGCCTTATGGCACCCAAAGCACAACTTGCACAGCACCGGGGCTGCAGGATTGATGGCTCCTCTATCAGGAGTGACGTGACTTGTTTGAGGGTTTTGGACATAGGTGAGAGTTTTGAGTGAGAGGATGGATTTGAATGCAACTCTCAAGCTGTGAAAGGCTGTTATTGCTATTTTAGATATGTCCCTTACTGCCCTGTTGACCATCCCAAATGATTGGTTTTTATCAACCAACCAATGACTCTGTTTAAATAAAACAGGAATAATGAGCCTCAAGGCCTCAAAGACTTACAAGAACAAATTTGAGCGAGGGCAGATTGATGAGTTTACACTGGAAGCTGTGGACCTTGGACACTTGAAGAAAATAAAGACTGGCCATGACAATAAAGGTAGGGCGGGATGGCATACTACAGCTTTTCTTGCTCCACCAGGTGCTTGTATTTGAAACTATTCATGCTCTAATTGTTACCACCCTTGACATTATAATCATAATGTGTCTGGTGCTTTAGGAACAGACCGACAGATTTCTGCCCCAGGGAGCCTAGGATTTGAGTTAGATATAGTACCGCAATGGAGGGCACGCAAGGTGAAAGTTGTTTATGAGGTTTTCAGCACCGCAGCTTTTAAAGAGATTGTATAAAGCCAGTCCTAGGAAGCAGAAGGAGGGAAGAGAGATCTAAAATATTTCTGGCTGAAAGGGAAGGTACTGATGCAGCATTCAATACTGTCGGCACCTTCCATTACATAATCAGGGCATATGCTCCTGGTGGATAAGCTTTCAAATGATCTGATTCCAAGTGGGATTTCTAGATAATAAAATGCAGGTCTGGCATTCAAACAAATAACCTGGGTATTCAAGAGTGGCTAGTCGATCTGACCACCCTGTTAATTAGTCAAAAATTGAGATACCTAAAACTACTAGTTGCTTTTGAGAATTTTGGTCTAAGACTCTGGCAAAAGAGCTCAGGGTAAGAGAGAGAGTCTAGAAGTCAGAATATGGTGCTGCCTGTCTAAAGAAATTCCCTCGTGCTCTGACCATGGTCCTTTCTTTACAGTGAGGGTTGCCAAAATATGGAATAAGCTTCCAAGTGAGGTGGTGCTGTCCCCTTCCTTGGAGGTATTTAAAAGGAGATTGGACAGACACCTGGCTGGGGTTATCTGATCCCAGCAGTCATTCCTGCCCAGGGCACGGGGTTGGACTCGATGATCTAATAGGTCCCTTCTGACCCTACCAACTATGAAACTATAAGTGCCTCTGAACTTTGGGAAAGTCAGCAATTGGTACCTTGATTAGTATAACTCCCCATCTGTAAAAGGCGATAACCCTTATTTCACAGAGACTTTGAAGAGGATAATTAATTTGTGATCAGCTGTAAAGCTCTTTGCTGGTGGTATGCGTTATTCACTATAATTGCCTGTAGGTAACTGCACTGGATGGTTTCTGGAATGGGTGGAAATCGATGCCCCATCGCTTGGAAAATGCCTGATGTTCCCTAGTGGTCGCTGGCTGGATAAACTGGAGGATGATGGACGCACTGAGAGAATTATCTTCCCTGCACCGCTGCAGACGAGGGAATATGTGCCATGTACGTAAAGGACTGATTCTCTAAGGTCTCCTGGGTCCTTTTTTGCTTGTTTTTGCAGGGTAGCGAGGCATTTTGCCAATATGGTTCAGTGCTCACTTAATAAGAGGACAGTTGGAAGCCATCTGCATTTATCTGGATGGGGAAACCACTTCCTCCTCTGTCCATGAGCCCTTCTAAGTTTCTTCTTTGTCTCTAAGTTTCTTTAGGGGGCTGTCCATTCCCAAGTCAAACAGCCAAGTGGCTAAGGGAGCCCCTAAGAGCTAGCCAAAAGGATGCCCAAAGCACTGGGGTGTATCTGAAGTTGTACCTCTCTCCAGACAGGCAGGTCCCTGAAGTAAGGCCTCATGTGACACTTCTCCATCCTCTTGGATCCAGAGTGCAGAATGCACTTCTGAGGGCATGCAGTGGTGGTGGTGCTATTGCCTTTGCTTTGCATAGTAGGATGTGGACACATGTAACAACTCAAATATTTCCAAGGGCCAGCTGCATGCACATTTTAGAATTTGAAATCTTCTAAAAGTGGCCGAAACACTCCAGAATAGCACGGCTTGAAATGCAATGTTTATTCTGGAGTTTCTCTTCTGGTTATGTCTAAGTGGGAGGGTGGACAACCTGCCTGCTGTCCAGCTGCTGGTTCCTGCTCTAGGTCCTAGGGCTCTGCCAGGTCCACACAAGGAACCCCTCAGGTCCTGCTGGCACCTCTCCCCCCAAAGCTGGGCTTGCCCATTGCACATGACTCCTCTTCCAGACCCCTTCCAACCGCCAGGGTCCCTGCTGGCACTGGAGCTGGGCCTTTCCACTTCAGTCCTCTTACCTCTCGGCTGTGCTGAAAGGGGGAACGGAGAGACAGAGGGATTGGAGCGGGAGTGTCAGGGTCCTGTGGAGGCTGCGCTCCCTTAGCTGCATCTAGGCTACTCTGCAGGCAAGAATGCAAGAGTCTCAGCTGGGAGAGGCAATCCTGGATGACAGTCTGCGTTCTCCGGGATTATTTCTTTTTTTTTTAATCTAATGACTGTTGAATATGAAGTGCACAAGCAGTCCTGGGCTTGTGACCTGTGCGCTCTTGGCAGCCCTGTGGCCCAGCTGCTATAAGGGGGTGGAGGGAACCCAACCCAGGCTCTTCTAGATCAGCGGGGCCAACTTTCTGGGCAGGTGTGCCACAAATTAAGGCCTGCACCTCTCCAGGTGCCACTCCCCTTCCCCTGCCTGATCTCTGCTTTCTTCTCCCTGCCCTATCTGCCGCTGTGCTGCCTTCCCCTTCCCCATTCTGCCACACCCCACACAGAGGATGCCTGTGCCACTTATGGCATGTGTCTCGCATGTTGGCCACCCCTGTTCTAGAGCCTGGGGATTAAGGTGCTCTCCTGGGATGTAGGAAATGCGAGTTTGGATTCCCACAAGCTGAGGTGGGCCAAGGACACAGATCTCCTACTTCCTGACCAAGTACTACCAGGGTATTCTGTAAAAGGTCAGTGACACCCACAGCGACTGAAGCACCTATGTTCAGCCGAAGTCCCATTTAGGTGATTTATTTACCAGTCCCTGTGTCTCAATTCTCAATTTTTATAATAAGGACAATAGCACTTTTCTTCCTCACAGGACTGTTGGGAAGAGGTGTATGTTAAAGGTAGTGAGGTGCTCAGAGAGTGGTGAGGAACCATGCAACTACCATAGATCCTTCCTACAGTCCCTCCCTGTGTCTGCAGGTGATACACGGCTTCATGCCAAGAGTCTCTCCCTCTTGTCTGCAAGCCGTCCAGCCTTCAGCAGCTAAAATACCTTATTTTCTTGCTTACGACATGCCCCAGACTGTAATGCCTACCTTGTTTTTGAAAGTTGAAATGAAAAAAAACCAGATCATTCGTTGCAGTAAGTAACTGAGTAGCAGCAATGAGGGGGCTGGGCTTGATCATTGTTCTGCTATATATGGATCTCTGAAGATTTTGCTTTTGCTTTTGCTTGATAAGTGGCAGGACCCCTTCTTACCATATTTCTCGTATTATGTGCAGTCCAGTTTTCTGCAGCTGGCTTTTGACAAAAATGGTGCATGTTGTATGCAGGAATATATGCTGATCTTCCTGTTTTAATGCCATCCTCTTCATGCCATCATCGCCACTGCTCTGGCCATCCCTCAGTTGCATTTTCCCAGTAAAACATGGGGATGCTTCTTGCCTACCACCATCTCATGTTTAGTGTGTTGCAAGACAGAGCTGACCCTGCATTTGGAAGAATAAATACATAGACAGGTGTGGTGAACTTGCAGTGCCCGTCCTCCACTGAAGTCACTCCCAGGGCAGAGGTGGAAGCTCATTACTGTGTAGCCCTTGTGCCTGCCCTCCGCATGGGAATGAATGTTGTGCACAAAACCTTGCATTTGCTTTCCACAATGGTTTCCCAGTGTGTTTCAGGTGTGGCATTGACGCCTTGATGCATAAGTTGCTTATATTGTTCATTAAATGCTCTAGCGTATTACATGACATAAGGGCTTGTGGAATGCTGTGCCTTTATGTGCAATGTATACAGAGCTAATCTGTGTCAGCAGCCTTTATGCAGCATCTGGAACCAGTAATCAGGTCCACCTGGCAGAAGTGTTGTACATTGCTAAAACTAAGCCCAGGTAGCGCCCCACTTAAATGCACCCCTTGTGCTCTTAACAATATTCTAGCTTCCCAGCCGTTAACCCAGCAATTTCAGTTTGCCGGAGGTGACTGAAATGATCTGATCTGTTTTCATGACGGCTTATGCCAAAATTATTTCACAAAGCATGGACGACAAAAACAGGCCATCGTTATGCCAATTAAAATCATGCCTGTGGGTATACAACTTTAAAAGTGCCATGTAAATGAAAGGGGAGTCTGACAGCTGAAAGTTGGGCTGCTTGTGACCTTGTTACAGTGCTGCTTTGCTGATTCAGTTCGAAGCTGATGTTAATATTCAGGTAACAAGAACAAGCATAGCGAACTCGAGCAGAGCAAATCATTTTTAATTCAGAACACATAGCGTGTGATTTTTTGTTTTGGCTTTTTTTGTCTTCAGGATTTTTTTTAACATATTGCAGGAAACTATTTCAGTTTACATGCAGCACAAGGCAACAGGTTTCATTGGCTCTGTCAACAAGAATATCAAGTAGCTTTGGGCTGTCTGTCTCTAGAAAAAAAGAATTCTTCATCTCTGTTCTCCAGAGATCTGTGTTTAGAAAGCTTAGACATTTAATGAATGATTATCTCTGATATGCCTAATCACAGTTACTCCAGCGCTAACAGAAATGATGCAAGAAACATTCCATCTGTTCTGAACAGAAACGCTGAGCTCAACCTGAGTAACAAAGAACAGCAACAAATGTTGGAACGGCTTCACGGTGGGAGAGCCAAGGAGTAGGAGCAGATAAGAAGAGGGGGAAGGAATGGTTGAAATGGGACTTGATGCATATAGGGCAGGTAAAGAGAAGAAGGTGACAGTGATGAGAGCCAAGGGACAGATGAAATGATGGGCCAAATTCTTGCTGAGAGTGGAGTGTGAGAGTCAACACAGACACTGTCTCCCCATAGAGCTCAAGGAAGGCCTTATGTCAATCGAAACCAATAATAATGATAATACAATAATGCACAGCTCTTACCTGGCAGTTTTCATCCATACTTCTCAGAAACACGGCATGAAAGAGAACAGGTTTCATGTGGAAGCTGAGGCACTGGGAGGAAAGGGACTTGCCAAAGTCATATACCGGTTCAGTGGCACAGCCAAGAACAGAATCCAGGTCTCTGGAGTCGCCATCGAGCCCCTTATCCTTGGGATCAGTCCCCCTTGAGATCACCGAGAAAGTGGAAAGGAGACTCATGGGACAGAGAAGAGATGTAGACAACAGGGAGTTAGAGGCACCAGGCAGGCTAAGGGAACAGCAATGAGGTAGAAGGACCCTAGAAGGATTAAAAGGCCTATCTCATCATTGCCCTGCACCTTGTTCAGCCATACACCACTCGGATTTGGTAGCATTTTACACCCACTTGCTCTGGTAGAAATGTGCACGGGCTGCGAAAAGCCCTGGCACCAGAGACCCCTCAGTGGAAGAAGGAGATAGAAGCTAAGCTTCAATAAGTTTGCAAAGCAGATATTTCTCTCACTTTAGGACTCCTGCGATGAAGTGCAATGAACCAGATTCCTACATCAGTCTGATCTCAGATTCCAAGGAAGAGTGGTACTGTTGGCTTCACTCATAGAAATAGCACCTCTCCAGAGCTCTCCCAACAGAACTGAATTGGAATCTGGCCCGACAACTTGCAATGTGATGTAACAATTAGCTGTTTATGGCTTCCACGTGTCGAATGCCTAACAATCCTCTTTAACATTGCTAGTCTAGGTGTGATTGTTTTGCCTACTAAAAGAGTTGTAGGTTTTTGCAGCCTTCTAGACCAGGGGTGGCCACCCTGCGGCTCTGGAGCCACACGCGGCTCTTCAGGAGTTAATACGCAGCTCCTCGAATCTTTGCACAAGCACATGGTGACCAGCATCCAAATGCTTCCAAATTCTTGTTGACAGAGCCAATGAAATCCAAATGGAAGCTGGTCACCGTGCGCTTGTGCAAAGATTCGAGGAGCTGCGTATTAACTCCTGAAGAGCCGCGTGTGGCTCCAGAGCCGCAGGTTGTCCACCTCTGGCCTAGACTTTTGCTCATAGTTCATTGTTTTTTCTCTGCTTGACTTAGTTGTCCCTTACGAGATCACAGTATACACCAGTGACATCTTTGGAGCTGGCACTGATGCCGATGTCTTCATTGTTCTGTATGGAAATACCGGGATCTCCACTCGACGGAAGTCCCTGTGCCTCAACAAGAGGGAGCGAAAGATGTACTTTGAGAGGAACTCAGTGAACCAATTCATTGTGGAGGTAAAATCCAAGATGTTTGCTGTTTTTCTGGAGCAATAATTTAGGGCATATCACAGGGCTGTTATGAAGATCAATATATTTAAAAGACTGTGCGTTTGATGTTCATATACAATAATAGGGGCCGCATGATTGTCTAAAATAGACATTGACCTACGTTACCGATTGTGGTAAGCACTCATCTCATGGAGAAGCATTACAGAAACAAGTGTGTGCTGCCCTGTTGTCATAACCCTTTTTGGAAAAGACCTTTTTTATTTTGATCTGTTTAAGATGTGTGCTACACTAGGGTGATTCTCACATGAATCAATAGCTTCTCAGAAAGCCTAAGGGCTCTGAGACTACATAGCTGAAGATATTAGGAATGGGACAGAAAGGTTTTCATCCTAGGGTGCCGGTTCTCATTCAGCCGCAACTAGTTGTTACCAGCAAAGCTTATCGTGTGGTCTCTCGCATTAAGCACTGGCGCATGCAAGTGGGCAGGAGCAGAATGGACATGCAGCCTTACCCCTCTTAGCTGATCCTTCCAGGGTAGGGTGAAGACATGAGGGCAGGACATTGTGTAGAAGCTTGCATGTTTGCCATTTCATGTGACACATCTGTTTTTTGGATAAAGAAAGGACTTTGGTCTTCAGGAAAGTCATCCAGCACTTGTTGCCGGTTAAAATGTCTTTACTGCTCTCTGACACACAGAGGCTTTCAGATGCAAGGTCTGGAATTACGTACAGGAGCGTAAGATCTCCACGTACCATTTTGTGGGTGCAGTTTCAGAAGACTCTTTTGCACCGTTGGGCCATAATATGTAGCTGTGTATCTAGGAGGGATAGTCTAAACCAGTAGTGCTCAACCTTTTTACCCTTTGGGCCTGATAGGCAGTGCCCAGTACATCTGGGGGCCCCATCCAGCTATGGTAGTAGAAGGAGAGGGGGGAGGTAGGCAGGCAGCTCTGCCCCATGGCAGGGAAAGGGGCTTGACCTAGCCCTGCCGGAGGAGGAGGCATGACCTGGCCCCAACCCACCATGTGGGGCTTAGGGTTTGGGAATTTGGCAGTGTGGGAGGGTGCCAGTATTACTTGCCACTGCTCCCCTGCTGCCAAATTTCCCGAGCCCTGGGGAGCCCCATAGGCCGGATACCATTGACTCCGCAGGGTGCATTTGGCCTATGGGCTGGAGTTTGAGCACCCCTGGTCTAAACCTTTGTTGTAACATCATGGCCTCATTATTATCAGTCTCTTCCCCTGTCTATTTGGATGTAGGGACTATTATTACCTTATTATAGGATATATGATTTTTAAATAGGACCAAGTTTTCAAAGAACTTCATTACATTATTATAGGATATATGATTTTTTTAAATAGATTGGACTTAGTTTTTAAAAGACCTCATTACATTGTTCCTGAAGTACTTGCAGACACATACCTTTAGTGAATCAAGGAATATATTCATGCAGGTAGATCAGTTAATTATGTACCCAGTTCTGCACTTACATAAGCAATACTGGATTTAGCAGTTCCTGTTCCCGCTGTGTCCAGTGTAGTCTGAGCTTATATATGTGCAAATACTGCAGGAACAAGATGAAGAGGTCCTGCTCTGGCTCTCTGGCGTACTATTTGATATCTTCATCCCCAGGATATAATACAGAGACTGACAGTCCAGAGTATCATATCACCTTTAATGAATGTCTTTTCATAAGGCAAAATGTTGTCTGTCCCAGATGTTCTCCTGGGGCATGAGACAGAAAAGATTCACAACGTGACAGCTTAAGAAACCAGAACTTACCTTTGTTGGGCTTTTCCCAGATTTGTTCCTAACACCCTTTGTCATTAACTACTGTGTATACAACTAGAATAGGGTATTATTTTATTTTTCTTGTCCTTCTAATTGACTTGTCCCTCTGGAAAAACCCTCTGGAAAAACCTTCCTGCTTTTCTCAGATGAAGCAAATGAAAATGTGGTTTGATCTGTGGATTTGCAGCAGCAAATTAACTGGCCTCCAAAATTTAATTTGTTCTTGATCAGGTCCTCTTCCAGGGGGAGAGCAGCAAAGAGCTAAAATATATTCTTTCATCACCTACTTGTGAGGAGCCATAATTCGAAGCTCAATAGACCTTGAAAGTAGTTCTGGGATTTTAGAAAATAAAAAGCGGAGAATTGCCTTTTTGTTCTAGTGTTTTTATTGTTGGCGCTGTTTTGTGTTCTGCGGAAAGCACTGAAGAAAATGCTGTCAGCAGTGGTGTTTTCTCAGAGATGCCTATAGAGTGCAGTAAACACAGTTTTTCCTTAACAGCCCTCTTTACAGTCATGTGACACTTCCTTACTGTGTCACACACCTGACTTGAGGAGGATTATTCAGGTTGGGCAGAGAAGAAATTGCATCATGTTCCTTTATATCCAAATAGACAAGTGCATGCATGAGCATGGATAAGGGCATACATTTTGGGGTGAATTTAGAGGACTTTAATGCTCAGGCCAGTGAGAAAGTGACAGTCTTGTTTATATAGGGATGAGAGATAATGCTTGCTAACCCCATGCCATTAGCACAAGGAGTGGGCAGCAAGGGCATCAACCCCTAGGCACCTACTTAAAGTGTGTGCAAGACCCAACCTCTGCCGCCAGGGTGCAGACCCTAGTAGTTACACCTCGGCCCCATCCTGCTGGGACCCTGAACCACAAGATGCAATAGAAGCTGGATGCTTTGCAGGGTTAGATTCCTTACTCTCCTGTGAGTATGAGGGTTTGTGATGTGTCCAGGGGTATTTCTAAGTGCACCCAACAGCTGAATGGCATTGCTGAGGCACTCCAGCAGTTTGCTGCCCCTTTGAGTTCAAAGAGCTCTGCTTCTCTGCTAATGTGCTCCAGCTGAGTGGAGAAACAGCTCAGTTTGTGAAGGCAAAGCACTAGTGAAGCTGGCCCATCCCACTTGAAAAGCAGGCATTAGGTCCTCTGTTTTCAAAGGCTGGCTTTCATGTACTAGCTGGCACCAAAGTAACCTAGACACGTGAATCCAGCCCAGTTTCATTATTTGAGTGCAAGCCATTCTTTTGGGATATAAGTGGCTTAGATGACATCCAGAAAGTGAGAACCACGGATAAGTGGCCACTTCTTAAGATGTTGCTTTGTGCGACTTGCTCGGAGCGGCGCTTGGTTTCTGTGGTAAAGCAAAAATGAAAACACGTGTTTCCCAGCTCTTCATCTTGTGCTTTAAGCTCAAAACCCTCCCTCCCCTTTTTATAATTGTGTATCAACAGTCTAGCACAAAGCTGGTAAAAATAACTCCAGCTCCGGTAACCTTGCGACTTCTGTGGAGAAACTCAGCTTTTATTGCCATGGAGAAGTGTAAAGAAATGCATTTTAGAGCAACTCTGCACATGGACTTTTGAACCCACATCAGTGAATCTGTTGCCTAAACTGAACTGATTATTTTTGGTGCATTTCCGTTCTTATTTCAGACCAGAGGGGGTGGGAAGCCCTGTCTTCCAAAGATGCGGACCAAGAGCTTTGTTAATATTTGCCCCTGTAGGACCTTTAAGCAGAGTAGAAATGGGAAATTTGCTACAGAAGCGGTGCCTTTAGACTGCAGCTATAAAACAGTTGAGGCCACCCCCAATTGCTCATATAACTTTTGTTTCCCCTATTGCTGTAACTTTTGTTTCTGCAGCTGGAGGACGTTGGCGACTTTATCGAGAAGATACGGATAGGGCACAGTGGCACTGGGATTAATCCCGGCTGGCATTTAGATCGGGTGGATATTCGGAGACTTCTGCCGAACGGAAAGGTAGGCATTGATTCGTTACATTTGGTAGCACGTTTCCTCTGGCAGCCGCTCCTGCTTTCCAAGATAGAGCTTCGACGGGCAAAGAGGGATTAAGAGTGAAAAATGACTCCCTGAAGAACAGTGCTGACTAATGAAGGAGCTGGAGCTTGGGAAACCTGAGGACATCGGGTTTTGGTCTTCAACTGGTGGTTTTAAAACACTGCAGGTATAAGAATCCCGTTCTCTGTAGTGCAAAGCTAAGAGTTTACAGCAGAGCATTTTCAGACTGAAGCCGTGTTTATTCAATAAACTTGCTGTGCCGGCAGTAGCACCAACAAGCATGCTGGACAGCTCAAGGCGGGCTATCCCTCTCTACCTCTAGCCATGTCTGCACAGGTGCTGTAATGAACCCGGCGGGGAGGCTAATTGGTTCTGTTACTCAGGGTGCTAATTAGCCCAACCCAAGCACAACACGGAAGCGCCCTGCTTGGTGCTGTGCAGTGTGTTTAAGGGCACTGGAGCTGGAGCTGGTACATACAGCATCTACACCAGATGCCATCTAGACCGGTGACTCTCAGCCAGAGTACCGTGAGGTCCTTTCAAGGGCGCTGCAGGGTGTCACACAGGGTTAGCACTGTTAGGTGTGCAAACGTGCTTCACAAGATAAACCTAGAGAGATTTCAAATAGGAATCCACAGTGGTAAAGACATTCAGCCCTGCTGTGGCCTTTCTGAGTTCTTTTCAATGAAAGAATTGCTCTATTATTTTTCTGTAGTTAATAAATAAGTGGAAACTAGGAAGTGGAATTTCTGGGAAGTGTCTTCAGCCTAATGAGGGGTGCCTTGAGCCTAAGAAGCTTGAGAACCACCGGTCTAGATGTCGCTTAAGGTTCACAACAGATTGGTGGAGTCAACCGTGCATGAGATGAATTGCTTTTGTCTTCTGACTTCAGAATCTCCTCTCCATACGTGCAATAAAGATCTCATGGTTATTGTTGTAAGCAAAGATATTTCCCAAGGAATTGTGGCAAAATGTGCCCTTCCAACACTGCTGTGCAATGCGTGCTAATTGCTGACCAGCTGGCGACTCTCTCCCATCACAGTGGGCTGCTTTTCAATGTGGAGAAATGACTCCTCTCTGTCCAGCTTGGCTACATCTGTACAGTAAACTTGCAGTCCCTGGAATCACTGCCCTCAAGCACGCTGCCCTGCTCTGGGTGAGCTGCTTCCTAAGCTGGAAGTAGGATAGCCATTGACATGCATCACTTGGGGCAGGCTAATTAGCATCATGGAGTGATGGAAACAGTTAGACTGCCCCAGGGCTAATTAACCTGCCCATGGGGATGCAAGTACTCTCCCCTGGGCTGCCTGTCATGAGGCCCTCGATGGCTTGCCGAAACTCAGTAAGCGGCCCTCTGCCCAAAATAATTGCCCGCCCCTGCCCTAGCTTCTCTTGGAGCATAAGGACTATTACTGATCTGCAAAGGCCCGGGGAGCATTCCCTGTGGTGCAGGTTTAGTACAGGCCCACCACATTCAGACCTGCTTAGTCACCTCATATGGAGCATCTCAGGAGGGAATCATCACACAGAGGAGCACAATGGAAACTGCAGGGTGTTCTGGGCTCTGAATCAACCCACTGGCTGTGCTGCATATTTGAGCAGACATCCAAGCTACCTAATTTATGCTAGGGGGCACCCCCAGATCTAAAAAACCCACTATACCTAGGCTGCGTCCTTGAAAGTGCCCTTTCTGTCTGGAGAACATTTCAGTTTTGACCCAACTTATTCCTGGGCCAGGCAGCAACTTCTCACCAGTAAATGGCCTACCCTGGGAGATGGCAATGGGGTGTGACTGCTATAGAGGGAACAGAGATGTGTGAATCGGGAAAGTACACCTGTGGGACCCTAAAAGCAGTGGGTTCTTAGACTGCGTTTACAGGGAACCCAGCTGCCAAGTGAACAAAACCAGATGAATATGGTGGTACAATTATATTATTGTTAGTACTGCTATTGCAGCAGATACAGCAGTAATATTCATATTAGAACTTTTAAGAAGTGCCCCCGTGATACAGCCAACTTTCTATTGAAACTGCAGGATGGATTTCAATTATTATTTTTGTTGATTGGTCTTCTCCTTTCACTTTTTCATCACCTGAATTCCTCACCCATCTCTTTCTGATCCAGGAGGTAGTCCTGAACATCCCCCAAAGATACAAACTTTCTGTGACTCCCATCTGAGCTTTAGAAAAATCTGGATCCAGGTCTGATTTTGCAGACCTGCAAAATCTCTAGTTTCCATCGAATTATACTTACTGATTTAAAAAAAAAAAAAGAAAAACAGGATGTTAGAATTACAGAGATTAATGCAGATATTTTCCTAAGTGAAATATTTTTCACAGTTTTCTGAGAGGCAACATCAGCTCTGCAAGGGGTCTTAGAAAAATGCCTTGCTTAGAAATCGCTATGCACACACATTTCAACATTTATGAGACATGGGACTTTTTCTGAGACGTGGCACTTGAATCTCTGAATCGAATCACTGTCCTCCGAATCGGCTGTACCCATATCCGAAGCGAATACTTGTCACTTCGCACAGACCTAGAGGAGACTGCCCATTAAAGAAATGAGTGCTGTTTCTGTATTGTGTCCTGGCCTGACCTAGATCGAGATATATAAAAGAAATAGTAGCTTGTGCAGGTAACTGGACAGATATCTTTCCAGGTACCTCTTAATGTCCTTTTTAACAAACTGTTTCTTCTCAATGGTAGTTTCTACTTCTTTCTTTCCCCCAAGGACTGGGCCCAAATCTGACAGAGGTTAGCAGGCAGAGACTTCCAAAAAAAAAAAAGTCTTGGCAGCTGAGTTCCCTATAAATCCAGTCTAAGAACCCACTTCTTTTAGGGTCACACGGGTGTATTTTCCCTATTCACACATCTCTGTTCCCTCTATAGCAGTCATACCCCATTGCTTTGAATCGATTCAGAGCTTTTAATTGGTCTCCCAATTCAATTCGGATTCGGAGATTTGTTTCCTGAATTGGGCCAAATCTCCCCCGAATCAAATCAGCACCCGAAGCTACACACAGCCCTAGTCTCCTCGTGGCAGTGGATAGAAGTGGAATAGCAGTGCTATTACACAGTCTCTTTGCTGCCTTTGACACTGTCATCCCAGGGTGCTGCTGGTCTGGCTGGGTCCTAGCGGGTGCAGCTGAATCATGCTAGGACTGTTTCTCTCTCCGTTCCAGTGCACTGCACAGCACTGTCATGGTGCATGTCTTGGGGGTCTTCCTAACTTGCAGTCCTGGGTAACCTGCTGCCAGTTCTGACTGAACATTTTGCAACTTCCTGTTCTCTCCCTTGAGCGTCACCTTCCAGTTCTCTCTCTCCTACCCCTTTTCCATGCTTACAGCCTCACTGTCATGCTTTGACAAGCATGTCATGACACACATGGCTTTCCTGAACCCTACTCATCAAGGTCAAGGCTGCACCCTCATCATTAGGCCTCTACATCACTCCATCCTTGTCTTAATCTTCCAAATCTCTTCAGCTGCCAGTGTTTCTTCCACTCAACACCCATTTGTTTCCTCTGCCTAATAGGGCCATGGGTGACTGGTGCCTCTTGAGTTGGGGGTGGGGGGGTACATGCCCCCCGATACCAGTCAGCGACTGGATGGGGGAAATCCCCCATGGCCAATCATGCTGACCAAGGAGGGGGACACCATGGCCAATTGCGCTGACCGGCGGGGGGGGTGGTCTCCTGGCGGCTGATCTCACTGGTGCTCCTGCTTGTCCCTGTGCCTGTCACCTAAACAGGGAGTGTGGCCTGACAGGGGGTGCACCAGTGCTCTCAGGGGGTGCACATGCACCCCCGTGCACCCCCTATGCATCACCACTGAATAGGGCTGTGTGAAATTTCGACGGGTGTTTTGTTTCGAAGCTGTTTCAACATGTTTCAAGCTTGAAACAGCAAAATTGAAATGAAATGAAAGACTTCAAAACAGCCTCAAAACGAAACGAGGGCAGTCGAAATGTTTCAAAACTTTCAAAACATTTCGAGTTTTGAAGCCGGGCTTGCTTGCAGGGAAACAGAAACTAAGGAGAGGGAGGGGGAAGAGGGGGCAGGACTGCTCTCATATTGACTGTGTAGCTGGCTAGTGACTGTCATCCTTCCCTGAGGTGCCTGCCAATCCTAGTGCTCTGGGGGAGGGACAGAAAAACAGTATAAAAAGCATTGTTTGAACTGAGCTTTCTCTGTGCCTTGGGGTCAGCTGACTGAGCTCCTATCTCCTCTCAGCTTACCTATGCACCTATTTCCTTGAAACCTGGCAGGCTTCATTGCCTTAGCAGAGGCCACCATTCCTGCAGTTTTCACCCTGCTGCGCCTTAATACACACACGACATGAGTTTGCTTGTCAGCACCTTGAGGTGCAGTTTCCCAGAAGCCCCTGCACCTCTTTCCTTGAAACTTGGCAGACTTTGTGGGCTTAGCAGGGGCTAGCATCCCTGCAGTTGTCACCACCACCCCCCCGGGGCCTTCACACTTGCAAGTGCCACAAGTTTTGCTCTTAACTGTTTGAGGTGCAGTTTCCCAGAAACCCCTGCACCTATCTCCTTAAAACTTGACAGACTTTGTGGCCTCAGAAGGGGCTACCATCTCTGCTGTTTTCAGTCAAATCAGAAAAGAAATGACAAAGTTATAGGCATTTTCATGATTCCCCATTATAGCCTACGGGCGAAACATTGAAATGCGTTGAAACAGAGAAACGGTTTTGATGAAACGAAACAGAACAGTGCTTCGAAACTTCAAAATGAAACACTGACCCTTTGAAATGATGAAACGGAAGTCGAAACAAAACAGTGCTGTTTTGCACAGCCCTATTGCCTAATGCTGTGCTTGCTCCTTCCTCCAGCCTCCCCATTGTGTCTCAGTCAGCCATGGGCACCTGGTCTGAAAGGCCTGGTTAATACCTCAAATTAGGCCACCATTACTGGTGTGATGACTCTGTAAGACTCCCGTGGGCATGTCATTGGTGCCATACCCTTCAGTGTGAGACTTTCCAAACTCTTGTACTTTCTGCAGCAGGTCCCTGCTTCACCCTGCTCGGACCAGGTCTGTGCTAGAAACGTTGGCTGTGATAGTCATGTGCATTAGGGAGGTAACATGTTTATGGAATTTTTACTATGGAAAAATATTAGTACAGAAGCACTTCTGTTGGCCTATAAGTACTTTTCTTGCTATAACTTATTTTACTCAGAAATCAGTCTAACTCTGAAAGCAAATGCACTTTTTTTCTTGATATGAGTTACATTTTGCATAAAGAAGGCTTGCTGGTGTTGCTACACTGGCAAACCTTTTACTGTAGTGTAGAGGAGACATCCAGTATTGGCTCAGCATTTTCTTAAATGGAGGAGCCCCCCTAAACTTGAACAGTCAGTCATTTTCTATAGACCCCAGGTGTTCTTTAAACATTTGTTAATCAAGAATTGACCCAAACCGATCCCATTTAACCTAGTTGGTTCAAAGAACAAAGCAACATAATTGCCAATTCTTGGCACTTGAAGAAGTGAATTTCCAGGGTACAAAACCCAAGGGAAAACACAGTACTGGACTGCCAGCCTCTGTTGTACCACTGTTTGAGCCAGAACTGTGACGAGCTCCAGTTTCCCAGTGCTTGTTGCTTTGTCTTCAGGTACAGAAGTGGGCCTAAACCTGAGGCCAGCCAGCAATGAAACCCAGCATATCAATAATGGACTGTGAGAAGACTGTGGGAAAAACTAAAGTCAATGTTGCTTTAAAAATGGAGTGATCCACAGTTTTGCTGATCTTTTGATTCTGGCACGTCAAAAAGAAGAAACAGAGCACTGCATGATGCTGCTGTAATCAGCCGCAGGATATTATGACCTGCCACAGGATAGCAATATGCTGCCAAAGCTTTTAAAAGCTGAGCTGCCTGATTAGACTGCTAAGTTGTGCCTAGATGTATCTGTACATTGCAAATGAAAAATGAGGTCAGTAACTTCTCAGATTAAATTGAAAGCACATGGGTAGGAAACTAAACTCACTTCCCACCAAGGAAGTGCTGCCAAGGTGGGCCAATTATATCTGATAATTATATTTCACTCGTTACAGCTCAGAATAGGGTAAAGTGTTGTCTTTTAGCAGACTGTCATACTGCTTATAGCTTAGAGCCCAACTCAAACCCTAATGAAACAAGATTGTAGCTACAACAAGATTTTACAGCCATTAACGTAAAATAACATACCTTGTGTCACTGTAATGAGAATATGGTCACTGAGAAGGTGACTCCAGTAGAAAGTGTGGCAATGACATGGGAATTAATAACAATGGTACAGTTAACTCTTGTGATGAATCTATCCTATTACCCATTACGCAGACATTCAATTTGAAGTCCTCAAAGTACCATGGAGAAGGTAGAGCAAGGTGGCACCATAGAGACTGGTGGGTTCAGAGAGGCATAAGCTTTCATTGGCAACAATCTGTTTGTCAGATGCAGCATCTGATGAAGTAGGTTATTGTCTACAAAAATGTCATGCCTCTCTGAAACAATTAGTATCAGAGGGTGCCATCCTGCCCTATTATATGGTAGATTTCAGACAAACATGGCTAACCACTTCGCTGCCCAAAGCATCGTGTATCTGAGCACACAGTGTTCATAGCAATGACATGTGGTTGGTGTACAAGCAACCATGATATCATTACTCGCATTTATCATTTTTTTTTTAAAAGCTAGAGCACCATGTGTCCCTCCGTCATGGCCTAAATGACAAGGCATGTTAGGAATAGCTAATGGTAATAGAGAATTTAGTTACCAAATATCATGTCTTCCCATTGACACAAGATTTTAAATGGCTGTGGGTGAAGGGGTGGGTGGCGGAGGTAAAGTCAATGGATGGTTTTGATTATAACAAATAGTTTGGAACATACAGAGAGAAAGCTGGTTACGCTGTTTGGACACAATCATTGTACGGGAACCAATACAAAGATTTGTAAAGTAAGGGTAATAACTACCGGGATGTTAGTAAGCATCTGAGATATTGTGTTCAGTCTAGGCAGTACCCTAGAGAGAACACAAATAAGAACTCCTGGAAATAAAGATTTGCAACAATCAGAAATCCCATTTGATTTTGTCTGGAGCCTTTATCATACAAACCATATTCCGCATATTTTACATAATTATTGAAAGTACAGGATGCAGAACAGCACTGCCAGGAACAGCTGATAAGAATTCAGAATGATAAGCGAGAGAGAAATTGTATTTCTGGCTCAGATTTGGAATCAGAGGAAGGTCGTATTAAATGTCCTGAGCTGCTGGTGAGAAGCCTGCTGCGGGGTGGCAGGGTGAGGGTAGGGGGAAGTAAAAAACGAGAAGGGTGGTGTGACAGCAGAGTGAATGGAGACAGGGTAAAAGGGGGAAGATAGCAGCAGAGGCAAGTCCATGGAGGGCTTCAGAAATGAGGGTCACTATTCTGGACAGGATCTTGGAGTGCGTGGGAATCCCCGTGGAGTGATTGGGATTATGGATGAAATTATGAATGACAGTGTAAGGATGATAAGTGTAGGCCACTGCTTAGGGCAGTAACATGATTTGGGTAACCTGAATTCAAGTGCCATCCCTTCCACCAACTTTCTCTATAACCTTGAGCAAGGCTCTTAGGGCTGGATCTGTAAGGTAGGTAGGTGCCCACTGATTGCAATGGGAGTTGATTGCATAGTGTGTGGTGGCGGTGGGAATTTGGAGGACAACTTAAGGCACCTACAGCAGTGCAAGCGAGGAGAGCTGAAGACCTTGGTGAGGATCTCACGAGAGGTAGAATCAAGGCAAGGGTGCATTCAAGCACCTTTTCTTCCTTTATGCCATGTAGTGGGTGTAGCTTTGTGGGACTTGCAGGTTAAAGGATGATCATACTATTTCATAAGAAAGTCCAGATTTGGCACTTCCTCAGAGAGAGAACTTCCCTGCCTAGCAGTGTTTAAGCCCTTAAAGAAATATTTTAATATCCTTAGGAAGTGGTCTGGCATTGATTTTTATTTTTTTTTAATCTGCTGAGTGGAAAACATGTTTTTTGTTTTCATTTCTTCCATGGTAGAAACCATTCTTGTTTCCTTCACATAAAGTCAGAACAAAGGATAAAAAATAAGATGGGGGGTGGGGGGGAGAGAAGCAGGGGGGTGTTTCTCTTAAAATACATGTGGGAATGATCTGACAGTCATCTCGAGTCATAGAATTATAGGGCCAAATCCTGAAGTATTGATGCCAGAGAAACCACTGACTTTGAAGGGAGCAGTGCTTGAAGAAGGGAGATTGAGAGAGGGTTTCAAAAGTTTGCCTACCCTTCATGAAACACAGCTTCAGTGGGAAGTGCTGTAGGATTAGGCATTGGATCCCACTGGCAATGGAGAATGAAAAGTCCTATTCGACCACACCAGGAATCCTTATGGAGTATTTTGGGGAGTTTATTTTTTTTAGTTTGCCTACCATGCAATATCTGTTGCCTTTTCAGTTGCATTTGAATGAGGGTAAATTTGGGTACTGAATAACCAGAAGGTTGTTTTTTTTTAGTTAAAGGTATGCTTTGTTTTGTTTTGCTCCATATGTGCATGTCTTGGTTGTTGCAATTAGCAGTTTTTAATCTGTGTATGTGCATACATATGTGCGTACAGATTCATTAGACTTGCCAATCCGTGACTGTGCCCAAGCTGTTATGCCATCTCCATGTAACAAGAGAACGCCTTTCTCCTGTGACTCCAGGGTTCAGAAACCATTTCGTTTCCATGCGAAAGGTGGCTTGCAAAATCTGAAGATGATGGTGAGACCATAAGAGAACTGGTACCATCCGATATCTTCACTGAAAAGCTCACAAAAGATGGGAAACTCAAGCAGATAGAACAGGAAGTGGAAGAACCACTGGAGGGTAAGTGAAATCCCTTCTTCCCGTCTCCGCCATGCGGCTATGTAGTTCAAATAAATGCAGTGCTACTAAAGATTGCTTACTTGCAAGTAAGTTTCTGGAAAAAAAAAGATCATAGTAAAAAAAAATCAATCCTAGCAGTGGCTATATTTTAAGAGGGAAAATACTTCTAGTGGGTTACTGCAAATGCCTTTTCTCTGGCTTCCTTAACTCAGCTGCGAGATCATCCTCCTTTCCTGTTGCTAGGACCGTGTTGTACACCTACACTTTTTGAATTACTCCTTGGCTCTGCTCTTTACCCTTCCACAGTACTTTCCAATTTCTTGTCTTTAGCTTCCAGGCCTTGCAAACCTCTCTCCTCATTTGCCCTCAGTGCCTCTTACTGCCATTGACTCCTTCTGGTCTTCCCATACTATCAGCTTCAGTCCTACATTTTTTCCCCACAGTCGGCTTTGTACTTTCTTCATGCTGCTCTCCAAGCATGTAACATAGATTGGCCTGTAGACTCCTTTCCTCATTTAAATCCCTCTATGAGTAGGTTGAGTTACTTGCTGTACAGCCTCTAACTGTCGTCCCTTCTTGGCATTTGACTTTATTAATGAATTTATGTAACAGCAGCAGAATAAATAATTATCTCAAGAGCTTGGCTACTGCTAAGGCTTTCTTTGTCTCAAGGCCAAAGTTACTTCTATACTTGAAAGATTTTCTACAACCTCTTATAGCCTGGATGGAGCTGACTGAATCCAGCTGTTCCTTTTACTCACCGTTTTCGGTCAGGGTTCAGGCACCAGGTGATGTGCTGATTCAGTGAAGGAAATTATCCCTGTTTTTTGGGTTTTTTTCTCTTTCAAGATCGGATTTGCATTTATGCTGCAGCATTTTGTCGGTGTGCATAAATTGCACCTGCTTTAAAGATCTTCTCATTTCCAGAATGGTACCCGAAAGAGAGCTGGGTCTTCATGTTGTGCTTTAGAAAACAGTGTCTTTTGACCTCATGTCGACTAACCTGCGGTCACTGGCAAAAGGCAAAATCCTGCTGAGGGCAGGACAATTGTAGTTTTAATGTGAGTTAGCAGGTCAAAATTAATTCTAAATGCTTTGATCTGCAAACTCAACGTGCAGTAATTCTCTCCTGAAATGACACGCATGGAGTCAGATTTAACAAACCAACGATGCAAACCATCTCGGTAGGTTTTTGCTCCACTCATTATTAAAGTGCAATTATCTCTCAGCTGAAAAACCCCAGTTTAACAGATCACAGCAGCAAGATGCAGCACCTTAGGACATAATATAAAGGCAAAAATACGTTATGAGTTTGGAATTGCAGAGAGGAATGGGGTGGGTGCAACCTAATTCATTCCCCAACTAGAAATAGAGCCAGCACTTGTGAAAAATATCAGGGCATCTGTAATGAGCACAAGTGATCAGAATTGCTCATTTCTTTTTTTACTTCTTCACAAGTGATCAGAATTGCTTGTTTCTTATTTTACTTCTTCTAACAAAGAAGCAAAGCAGAGCAGAATGAAACGGCAGCAACCCAAATGGGTATTACCAGAGCGACCTGCCTGCCCCTCTCCCTTGGAAGTCAATGGGGACTCTTTCACAGATTGCAAGCTTGGGCAGGCCCTGTTTTATTATGAGTGCTCAGTATAGAAGGGCTGAAAAAAAGCAATATACTCCTTTTGTTTGATGCTATTAACAGACTAGCAAACCTGGCAATTCTCTGTACTTAAGATGTTGCGCCTCCCACAAAGCATGCAGCTGTTTTTTCCTTCTCATGTTTGAATCCCGTGGGAGTAATATAGAAAGCTGCCAGAGAGAGACCCTCTCGAGGGTTTCCATCACCCTAATGTGAGCACAAACCTATTCAACGACTAATTGTTTTTACCTGGGAGCGTCTATTCAGGAACCATTTGTTTTCCCCATGTAAATGGGAAGGGAGCAGAGATATAGGAACAGCAGCATTCAGCAGATGAGAAAACCACATTACTAAAGACTGGAAGAGACTTTATTGGCTCATTATTGAGCAAGCAAAACACAAATAGCTACTTAACTGGTACAACTCCAGCCTGTCAGTAATTAAATATTGCCTGAGCAAGAAGATTCGGGAGACCATTCTCTTTTCTCGGTAAAGGGAATTTAAACAGCCAAGTCTCATCAACTCTGGTGATCATTGTGAACCCAAATCCCTGCTGGTTGTTTGTGGACAATGGAGCATTAAGAGCTCACAGCTTTAGATCCCTCATCCTGCTGATGCAAAGCACAATGGAGGGTGTTTGCTTTTTTACATGCTTCTGGGCCTTTGCTAGTTGCCACATGTTTTCTCCTCCTGTTACTGCAGGTATTTGGGGGGCGGTTTCCACCTTCCTCAGAAGCTTTGGGTGTTAGCTGCAAGCCAAGACTGGGGGTTGTGATTGGGGTGTGCCAGTCCTTCTTCTGGGACTAAAACAAGATGTTCCTGGTTAGAGGGTCTTGCCCCTCCACTCAGGGTCAGCCCGATTGCCCCATTTGGAGTCAAGAGGAATTTTACCCTTTGGTCACATTGGTATGGACTTGGGGGAGAAGCGGAAGGGATGCCTTCTTCTGTAGCGGAGGTATGGCCTTCTTCCTTGTATCTCTTGAGGACATATTAACAACCCTGGCAGAAGCAGGACAATGCCAGCCCTTGTTCCCCTGCTTTGTCTGTGGCAGTTAGGGTGGTTTTGGTGTCTTTGGGCAACATGCCTTGTAGTTGTGCAACAGGGCTGATTGTGCAGTATTAGGATTGGTTAGACAACGATTTGTATGGTGTGACTGGGAGGAGGATGATTCTGCCTTGAGCAGGGGGTTGGACTGGATGACTTCTGGAAGGCCCTGAAAAATGTTAAACTCAAATGTAGTACTATGAAATCAGTGATAAGCATGGGCAGATCCAGGATTTGCTGAAAGGAGGTGTGACATATCCCCTCTTAGATGGTGTGGGGTATGGAGTGAGGCATGTCTGGAGTGCCCAGGTTGGTGGGAGACATGGGGAACCTGGGCAAGGAGCAGAAAACCTGCCTGCTGTGACTGCCACCACCACTTTTCTGAACAGCCCCCCATTTCCCCGCTGGGTCGGAGTAGGCGCTGGTAGGAGGAACCTGTGAACTGCTGGAATGTGGCTCCTTATGCAGCTGTTCCCTGCAGCCCACAGCTGGAGCAGGGCAGGAGCAATTCTGGGGCTTCCCCTCCACCCGGGTGAGCCGGAGACAGTGGTATGGGTGGAAGAGGTGTGTAACCTCACTGCCAGCCCCATTCCCACTTCCCTCCCCGCCCCCCACGCCCCCAGCTGTCCTGGTGACAACTAATGTTATGTTGCATTTTCATAGAAATCATAGAAAATTAGGGTTGGGAGGGAACTCAGGAGGCTATCCAGTCCAACCCCCTGCTCAAATCAGGACCATCCCCAACTAGATCACCTCAGACAAAGCTTTGTCTAGCCAGGTCTTCAAAACCTCCAAGGCTGGAGGTTGCACCACCTCTCTGGGTGACCTGTTCCAGTGCTTTACTACCCTCCTAGTGAGAGAGTTTTTCCTCATATCTAAACTCAACTTCCCTTGCAGCAACTTAAGCCCATTGCTCCTTGTTCTGTCATCTGCCACTACTGAAAACAGTCCAGCCCCATCCTCTTTCGACCCCCACTTCAGGGAGTTGAAGGCTCCTATCAAATCCCCTCTCAATCTTCTCTTCTTCAGACTAAATAAGACCAGTTCCCTTAGCCTCCCCTCATAAGCTCCAGCTTCCTAACCATTTTCATTGCCCTCCACTAGACTGTCTCCAATTTGTCCACATCCTGTCTGTAGTAGTGGCCTCAAAACTGGACTTCTGCGTTATCTGTGCAAAGCAGATTGCAGACTTCATCTGGACAGGAGGTGATGGAAGGCCAGTGTTTTTAGGTAAACCTCAGGAGAGCAACTCTGAATATCCCTGTGCTCTGAAATCATGTATTTGTATGTCTGTCTTTATGCAGTTCATACATACGGGATAAGCGTTTTCACCGGAGATGTGTACGGTGCTGGGACGGATGCAAATGTTTACCTGACTATGTATGGAGACCTAGGGGACACTGGAGAGAGGAAACTCAGCAAGTCTGAAACAAACATGAACAAATTTGAAAGAGGCCAGGTACGAATAGCATCAATCCCTTGTGTCTTCAATGTTGCACTCCTTAAACACAGGGATGAGCAGTTGAATAACTGAGCTTCCTGGTTGGAAGAGACCATCCATAAGGATGAACAAAACTGGCAGATGACAGTCCTGATGGAAAAAAAAAAAGATGCTTATTGCTTTTTAAATATTATTACATATTTTATATGCACAGTATATTACAGTGCAACATTGGTACTTATGAACTATGCTCATGGATGCTACATCAGACCCTGAGATATTTCTTTGCTTGAAGCCAATGATTTGGACTAAATTTTCAGCTTGACCTTACATCGAGCCTTTTTTTTTCAGTCACAAAATTGAGAGAACATGTAATTGAAGTCAACATTAACAGCTTCTGAGCCTCTAAGTAGCTCATTTGAATCTTCAAAATGGGAGGTCAGCTGTGGTAAATCTGACCCATAGCATTCATTATACTTTATCTCGGGACCTCATCAAGTAACACCGTTTTTTATAAGCTCTTCAGTTGTGATCTTTGAAAAATGGTCAGATTAAATGTTCTCCTTTAAAAATTAATTAAAAGGACTTCTTACAAGAGGCAGCTTTGTAGTCTTAATATTGAGCCTAAGAAACTGGACGGGTTTCTTTCCTACTTGCTTCACTAGTAGATGTGCATGAGTAGCCAGTTGGATCTGTTGCCTCCAGCTGGTTTAAGTAAACTAGAACTTGAAGGTTCAACTGCAATTTAGTTCACACTTCCATTGATGTGCTAATCATAAGAAAAAGCAATTCCCTCCCTGCTAGCTGTATGGTCCCTGACGAGCAAACGGGAGTAAATAGTAGAATCTTATTTAGTCACAAAGCTCGGCAGATACAACTCTAGCTACTCCATATCCTGTCCTTGCTGGATAAGCATGTGCCATTTTTGTACTATCCGTTTCAGAGTAGAACTAAGCATTTTAAACCTTTCCTTCCCTCTTAGGACAGATATAATGGACAGAGAACCATTCGTAGACTATTCTCCTACAGCTTTTAATCAAATACTGTCCAGTGAGGCTGGCTATATACATTTAGTGTATTCCATGGTGAACACGTGTGTTCAACCAGTAGAGAAGCCATTAAAAAGCCACCATTAACAGAATCTATATTGCTCTTGAACATCCTGTAGGAGGACGTGTTCACAGTGCAGGCGGTGGACCTCGGCCTTGTGTACAAGATCAAGATCCGTCATGACAATGCCATGCTGAATCCAGAGTGGTACCTGGACAAAGTGGAGATTACAGATGAAGACACAGAAGAAGTGTTTGTGTTCCTGTGTGAACGCTGGCTCTCTAAAAAGAGGGAGGACAAGAAGATAGAGCGGATACTTTACGAGCAGGTACAATCATGACAAGTGGTATAGTCCTGCCTACTGTCTGTGAGTGTTGTTGTAGAGTTACCAATGAAATAAGATTCATACCCTTTCGCGTGGTTGGAATCCAGCACAGCACTCCAGTGATCTAAATTGGCGACCATCTGAAGGCTGTTCTTTGACTTATTCAAAAAGAATAGGTGATTCTCAGTTGGGAAACCAAGAATGGATCAGGCAGTAGAGTTGATGCTCTTCAAAGCACAGGGCAAGCTTCTTTTCCACCCTGTTTGTGTCCTTATGAAGGAGGTGGAATAGGGCATGGCCAGGGCATTGTACACGATGCTACACAACTACTGCCCAGGCTGTCTCTTCCCACTGGGGAAGAAACAGGTTTGAGTTCTCAATGCAAAATACTGGGCCCTGTTGCCCCTTTCCCAAGGGGCAGGTGTTTCATCTGGTAGGCTGACCATAGATTCATAGATGTTAGGGTCGGAAGGGACCTCAATAGATCATGGAGTCTGACCCCCTGCATAAGCAGAAAAGAGTGCTGGGTCTAGACGACCCCAGCTAGATGCCTATCTAACCTCCCCAACCCCAGTCATTAATAGACCAGCACTAAACATGCATCCACAATAAAAATGCATGCTCTTTCGTAATGAAACGCTCCCTGTACCATCCCCTTCTACATGCGGAACATCTCCATATGTATTACTTAATCAGACTAATGTAGCTAATTAGCATTCCAGGTACACGTATTAATTAAAATTAGCAAACAAGATTAAGTTAATAGACCCCTCTTGCCTTTATGCAGCAAGGCAGAGCACTGAAGCTGATTAAAGCCCATTGTATTTAAAGGGCTTGCTTTACAAAACACAGTGACATTTTAATTGAAAGTTGCCACTAAAATGATCCTTAACGAACAGGGCCAAACTCATATCAAGTGTGACATCACAGAGGTAAGCAGTTACACCAAGGCTGCTCGTTGGTCCTCGGCATCTAATATCATTGCAGTTCCCAGTAAACAGTTCCGTGAATTGTTATGGTCACACCCACTAGATTGCTCATATTAATTCCCTGGTAGGAAGAGAAAATTAATTCGTTTTTAAAAATTCAGAATTGTGGGGAGGGATTCTCAACTTAATTGGACTCGGTCACTGAACACTTCCCTGTAACTGTTTTAAAACAATATAATATGTTTGACATTTAGGATTATTCAACTCTGTAGCATGTTTTCCATTGACCATTTGCGGAGTTTAGGTCGTACTGGTATATGGGTATGGACTGACTTACACATACACATACCCTGATATAATTTACATCAGTTTTGTATATCTATACACATTGCGCTAGGATCAGGGACAGATAAGTACTGTTTTCCCAGGTTAGTTCATAGGCAGTGGACAACTATTACGGCACATTGCCGTTAGATAGTGGGGAACAGATAATAGCCTGTTGTTTGCTTAATAAATAAATCGATGCATACAGAGGAAACTTAAACTGGCATAACTTCTATCAGGAGAATTTTACCCCTGATTCCTTCAGGGCTAATTCCCTACCAGAGTGGAGAAAGTTTGCTAACTAAGGGGTTTGGGTCATCTGTGCTACTTTTTTATACCAACGTAATGCTAATTCCACTAGCGTAAATGTTTCTTCTCTCAAGGGCTTATGTCTTGTCAAGCAATTTTGGTGCAACTTGATGTGTTAGCATTGTGCGTGGTTATTGCTCTTACATGCAGTGCAGAAAAGGCACAGCATGTTTCTTGCTAAGCCCATTAAGCCTGTTACAGTTACCATTTTATAGCACTCCTAGTCAAATGGCAGAGTTCAGGTTATTGCAGCGCGGTAAATAAATGAGCTGAAATAAGTTATGAGGAGTCACATTTATGAGAGCAGCATTGAGCAAAAGCTGCTCAGGGAACTAGAGGGATGTCTTGTATTGCTGTTCTTTGAGGCATACAGGAACAGCTGGCTGCATTGTGAGCACTCAACCTGATTATGCTCCCGTGCGTGTGTTTTAATTAGAACTACGAAGGCAAACGGGGCAGCCTGGATGGTGCCGATCTCAGCCTGAGCAGCCAAGACAGCAACGCAAACATGAAGGAGACGAAGAAACCCAGCTTGGTCGAGAGCATACAGGAAGGGTTATGTAAGAGAAGTAGGGTGTGGGTCAGGGTACATGTGCATGCTCTTGGCTTCTTGGAGGGGATGTTTTTGTGCTGGGGAAGACCAAAGTGGGGTAGAAAGGCCACTTTTTCTGACTGACCTGCTTCTTCCTGGGTCTTGAGCTCTGCAGATCTGAGATGGAGCATTGCTCGGATTTATTTGTGCTATTGCTGTAGCACTC